CCCCCCCCCCCCCCCCCCCGGCTGGATGTCCCCGTTCTATGTGGAAGCAGAGCTCAGCCTCACTTAAAAGGGTCTCCTGGTTAATTCCTGGACCCCCGGAAGAGTGCTTGGAAATCTCCCTTGGACTGTGACCTGTTTCTGGACTTGCTTCCCCCTTCTTTCCCTCCTCTTCTGGCTCTTCTCCACCGTCACCGCATCATGAGAATGCCAGTATATCCTCTGCTGAGCATGCTGTTCCTTGGAGACTCAAAGCTGCCGAGACTGGAGGCACCAGAATGGTGTCGGGTTCTGGGCAGAGGCGGGGGGAGAGGCCTCCTCCCCAGCTCCGTGTCTCACATGGTCACTCACTCTCTGCCTATTAAGACCCTTGGGCAGCTTTATTGGATCCTTTGTGGGGCCCTCGTCATCCAAAGGCCCTGGAGGGGGACCAGGGCATGCCTCTTCATCCCACTTTTCTATTTCTGTCCCTGCCCCCGGTCAAGTCTTCTCTCTGCTCCCAGCCGAAAATTATATGAACGCAGACAACTAGATGCTGGTGAGGGTGGTGATAGGAAGGAGGGTGGTGGCCAGCTAGCCCAAGACGCTCTTCTAATAGTTAAATGCGTATTTCTTGAAATAACAAAATGGAACCAGGCTGTATATATATCATGGGATGACTCACTTAAATTAAAAAAAAATGACACAGGTAGTACTGGAGGGCATTCCCTTAAAAATTCACATGACAGGGGCGCCTGGGTGGCTCAGTTGGTTAAGGGTCCGACTTTGGCTCAGGTTGGTCTCATGGTTGGTGGGTTCGAGCCCCGCGTCGGGCTCTGTGCTGACAGCTCGGAGCCTGGAGCCCGCTTCCGATTCTGTGTCTCCCTCACTCTCTGCCCCTCCCCTCCTCGTGCTCTGTCTCTCTCTCTCTCTCTCTCTCTCTCTCAAAAATAAATAAACATGAAAACAAAAAAACTCACATGACATAGAATTACGTACAGTAAAACATGCAAAAGCAACCCTTCACTAACCCTGAAGTCCTACTGCCATTCCTAGTAGGTAGTCAGGTGTGTATCCTGCCAGATCTTGCCCTGAATCAATCTATCATCTACCTATCCATCATCTATATCTTTCTATAATGTTAATATATAGATGTCTAGAGTTTCTAATATAGATGTCTAGAGTTTCTAAAGTCAATCATACCATGTATATTAAGTTGTGACTTGTCTCTCCCTCAAACATATCTTGAGAATTTTTCATGTCAATACTGATAGATCTACCTAACTTTACAGGTTTTTTTTTTAATTTTTTTTTAACGTTTATTTATTTTTGAGACAGAGAGAGACAGAGCATGAACGGGGGAGGGTCAGAGAGAGGGAGACACAGAATCTGAAACAGGCTCCAGGCTCCAAGCTGTCAGCACAGAGCCCGACGCGGGGCTCGAACCCACGGACCATGAGATCATGACCTGAGCCGAAGTCGGCCGCCCAACCGACTGAGCCACCCAGGCGCCCCCTAACTTTACAGGTTTTAAGCACATTGATGTACCGCGCTTACCCATTCCCTAATTAAAGACCATTTACCCTTCTATAGTATTTTATTTCACAAACAAGGCAACAGTGCCCACCCATCTCTGCACACTTTGTGTAATTCTTTGCGACGGGTTCACAAAAGCACAATGGCTGGTTTCCTGGGTGTGTGCGTCTACACCGGCTGCCCAAACTGCTCTCCAGAAAGGCCCTGCCAGTCCACACCCAACGGTGGTGAGGTGCCTGTCAGCCAACAGCCTTGCCGACATCCGATACTGTCGGTCTTTTTAACGTTTGCCAATCCCATAGACGAAAGAGGGATGCGCTTGCTTAGTCTATACTACGTGTTTAATAATATTTAGTGGAGTTGAGCCTCTCTCTCTCTTTTTTTTTTTTAGAAGTGAAGGCTTTTTTGAGGATTAACTTAAAATTTTTATTTTGCTAGTATTTTTAAAATGTTTATTTTTGAGGGACAGAGAGCCCGAGTGGGGGAGGGGCCGAGAGAGAGAGAGAGGGAGACCCAGCGCCCAGCAGGCTGCAAGCTGTGGGCGCAGAGCCCGATGCCTGGCTCCGTCCCAGGAACTGCGAAATCAAGACCCGCGCCAAAGTCGGAGGCTCAACCTGCTGAGCCACCCAGGCGCCCCAGGGTTGAGCCTCTTTTTTATGCTTGTTGATCACTGAGATGAACCGGTGGAACCGCTTGACCATGCTGCGTCCTTCATCTCCTGGGGAGTCTGCACAGGGTTTCCTTTCGGGCCACTTGAAGCTGTCTCTGCTAACCGGAACATTTCTGTACGACTGTGTTGGTTCATAAATTGGCGCTGGTCCAGGAGGACAGGGGGAGACGAGCAGGGAGGCAGAAGGCTCCAGACCGGCAGGTGGCAGGTGTAACGAGCCCGGGGAACTCGCGCCCGAGGCCCGGTTTTAACGCGAGAGGATCAGGTGCCTGCCTCCCCTCCCCCCACGCCCGCCAGCGTCTTCGGGTTCGTGGAGGGGCCGCTGGCGGTCCCTGCACCGGCCGAGCCCCACCCAAGGGCAGGAGGCGGGGAGGGGCTCCCGCGTCCTCGCGGTGACCTTTCCCCCCACCGCTTCCCCGGGACTGTCGCAGGTGCAGGCCATTTCCCCGCGGCGCTCGGTGGGGTGGGGGAGCAGGGCATCAGGTGTCTGGTGTGGTGGGGCAGACACGTGTTACTACTTTTTTCCTCCGTGCTGGCGGCGGTCAAGACGGCGAGAAGCCCGAGGCGGAGGAGGAAGGCGAAGAGGAAGAGGCGGAGGCTCAGCCAGCGGAGTTGGAGGGTGAGTCGCGTGGGGGCGGCTCCCCGCGAGGAGGGAGGCTGGGGCCCGGTATGGGGGACAGAGGTGGGTGCTGGCCGTTCGGGGCGCATTACCCGTGCCCCGGGGGGCCCGCAGCCAGCGACCACAGACTGGGGGGGCCGGCAGCTGCAGGGGGGCGGCCTCCCCGAGCTCTGGGGCCGAGCTCGCAACTGTGAGCAGGGCCGCCCCTCCCACGGCTCCGGGGAGCACCTGCCTGACCCCTCTGGCCTGGGCCTCGCTTGCCTTGCGACCGCTTCCCTCCCCGCTCTGCCTCTGTGGGTCTGAATCCTCCTGTCCTTTCCCTGGTAAAGGCGACAGTCACGGGATCCAGGGTCTGCCCTCTTCAGTAGGACCTCCTCTTTTATATCTGCAAAGACCCTGTTTCCGAATACAGTCACCTTGTGAATTCCACCCGGTATAGTACATGTCCCCCGGCGCCTCGTCCCTGTGCAAGCGGCGTCCGTGACAGCTCAACACCTGTGCGCTCTGTTGTGTAGCCCAGGCTTCCTTCCCCTCGTGCAAACCACACGCCCCGTTTCTCCTGGCCAGTCCGAGGCAGTAGTGGAGGATTTTACTGCTGATAGAAATGTGTGAGCTGGAGAAGTTGCTGGAAACACACCTGAACGTGCGAGACGCCTGATTCTCTGCAGGCTCCGCTTTTCCTGTAGTGATGCGATGGCTTTAGATTCATGCTAAGGCTGGGTTCTCCTGCGGGTGGCTCTTTTTTCCTTTCCTTTTTTACATTAAAAAAATTTTTTTTCGTGTCTTTGTAGTTGTTGAGTGGTTTCATTTTATTCCTAGTGTATTTCTACCGTTTATCTAATTCAGTTTTCTACTTGTCCTCATTCCTGAAACGATTTATTTTGTCCTTTTTCTGGGCAGCTGCATGTATCTTATTAAATTTTATGAAGTTTTTCAAATTTTAATGTCAGTAGAGTTAACGTCCAGTGTTATCTTAGTTTCAGGTGTATAATATGGTGATGATCAGCCTTCCATACCTCTCACTTAGTTCACCCATCTCCCCCTCCCCCTCCTCCACTCCCATAACCATCAGTGTGTTCTGTGTAGTTAAGAGT